CCACCCAGGGCCTGGCCCACAACTTAGGCATGTGCCCCAACTGGGAATCAAATGGCGACCATTGGATTCACAGGCCAGCACTCAATCCACTGAACGACACCAGCTGGGGCCATAAGATCTTTAAATCTTAGTGGGTTTCTAAGTTATTTAGGTTTCCTTTATGTCCATATTATAAGGACTAATGGTTTGAAATTGGAAATCAGAAGGCACTAGGAGAATTTCTTTAATTTTTAAAAAAGATTTTATTTATTTATTTTTAGAGAGTGGGGAAAGGAGGGAAAAAGAGGAGAAGTGAAACATCAGTGTGTGGTTGTCTGTTGTGCACCCTCTACTGAGAATACGGCCTGCAACCCAGGCATATGCCCTCACTGGGAATCAAACGGGCGATGCTTTGGTTCACAGGCCTGCGCTCAATCCACTGAGCTATACCAGACAGGGCCTTAGGAGAACTTCTGATGGAGAAAATAATATCTGGTTGAATTATGTTAGTGGAAAAGTATTATGACAATACCTCAGTTTCCTACAGGAGGTAATTTATCTAGGATCTAGGATGTCTGTAGAGGAATTGAGAATACTGAAGCAAATGAAAAGGAACATGGAACTGCTTTTGAAAAGTCAATACTATTCACTTTTAGGAAAGAGTCTCATGTTCAGAAACTATTTGTTCTTACTTTACACATAATGCAATAAACTTGGTTATCTGGTTTACCAGGACGGAGATTAGGAAGAGAATTGCCGAAGCCAGGCAGCCAGTAAGTGGCAAGTACTAATAACTTTTTAAAAAGTGGCAAAAAACATATTAGAAGGACAAAAAAACACACACAAAAACACACCATCCTGGGATCACTGCAGGAGCAAAATTTTAATATTTCCCAAAGATCCATTATTTTGCACTCTAATTCAGAATGCTAATGATGACCAAGAAAATTACAGGTTAAATGATATTTGCTATACTTTTCAAAAAGGCAGTGATCTATGATCGAGCTTATTTAAAATATTTTATTTAAACCTTTTGTATTTAAAGAAATTAATTTCAATTATTTAGAAATTTAAGTCAGACTTTTCACATTCTCCACAGGTGTAGATAAATGAAGTTTTCTAAATTGTAATGGCAAAGTCAGAGTAAATATCAATGTAAACCCATTCACATTGACATGTCTTCCAAAGGTGTCTTTACATCTGGTTGGTTGCTTTGACCCCCAAGCAAGAGAATGAATAATGTATTCCTCTACAACAGGGGTGCCAAACTCATTTTCACCATGGGCTACATGAGCCTCAAAGTTGCCTTCAAAGTGCAAAAATAATTTTAGGACTGTATAAATGTAACTACCCCTTAACTGTTAAGGAGTTGAAATTGCATTCGGCCCTTTGAAGGCAACTGGGAGGCTCGTGTGGCCTCCAGTGAAAATGAGTTTGACACTGCTGCTCTATAAGCTGACTAACCATAAAAGTTGTTTTTTTTTAAAAGATGTGCACATTTTAAAAAAGATTTTCCTTATTTATTTTTAGAGAGATGGAAAGGGAGGAAGAAAGAAAGGGAGAGAAATATCAACCTGTGGTTGCCTCTTGCATGCCCTTAACTGGGGATCTGGCCCACAACCCAGGCTTGTTCCCTGACTGGGAATCAAACCAGCAACTCTTTGGTTCACAAGCCGTCACTCAATCCACTGAGCTATACCAGCCAGGATTAACCATAAAAGTTTAATGGGCTCTCCTTGTTATGCCCAGCTCTGTGGAAGACAAAAAGAGTAGAAAATAGGAAAGTTATGTAACACCTTACTCTGAGTTCCCAAGGCTCAAAGGATGATCACACCAAAATACCCACAATGTAAATTATTTATACTACTAAATAATATAAAAGTATATAAGTTAACAAAGATTATATATAATAACATTTTCTAAGCAAGGCCTAATGCAAATGAGCTTTGTTCAAGAACTCAATAATGTCATGAAGTCCATTAATGCTATGGTTCTCAGCCTTTGTGATACCTCTACTGTTCTCAGGGAGTTATCCAAAGGCCAAAACTTGAAGGCAGAAGGATCAGCAAGGCTACCAGCCAGGACTGCACAAATCCATCTGTTTTTTCTTCCTTGCTGTCCAAAAACAGCAAGGTCTTTCTTGCCTGCCTCACTCAGAAGAGCAAGACTCATTAAAACACACTGAGGGAATTAACCAAACACATGACAAGTGTATTAGGGTGTCTATCAAGTCTACCATTATATGTTCTCCCCCACCCCTGTAACAAAACATCATGAGAGCTGGAACCTTTTCTGCCTTATATACAGCAAAGGGATGGCATGTAATACCATACAAATATTGCTTGAATGAATATGGTTGAGTAGCAGTGAAAGGTTGAGGTATCTGAAACTTTAATTTGGAAAACCTTTCCTAGAAATGAAGGCATGACCTGGGGATATTTGGGCTACTCAGAGAATACCAGGTAGTGTACAACAATCCGTAAGGGAACTGTAGGCCCCAGAATGAACTCAGATAAATCCCAAATCCAGGCATGAACATTTAGGAAAGGTACTTTTATTACTATGCTAGTTTTTTGGGGGGAGATTTGTTTCTTTGTTGGGGTTTTTTTGGTGTGGGGGACTAACAATTTATGTTTCATAAGAAAAATTGGCTTTGGATACCTTCACTTATTGAAGAAGTCATCTTGATTTTGGAGCACAGAAAACTTTCCTTGTTTCTGTTCAGTAGGGCAGAATGTTTAGAATCTTTTTCAGAGAAGTAACAACATACTCAAATGTCTAAGTACATAACTGGTGTGCTACTGGAAGTGGCAAGAGCAAACAATCCAGGTAGAAATGAACAGGGAGAGAGAAATTTAGGTTCCCTATTCTGTGAAGACTATTATAAGGAAATGAAAGTGAACTGAGGAGAGGAAGAGAAATGGGAGCTGAAGAAACAGCCAAGAGACTCAGGAAGAAAGATTACAAAATCACCCCCCCCAACAACCCCCCCCCCCGCCCCTTTTCCTCCAAGTGCATTTGCACTTGCTTCTTTCTCTGCCTCTTAGTTGTTTAAAAGAGCCAGGCATGCATTCTCACACAGCACACCCTCGACCTCTCCTGGTCACACTGTAATGAGTCACAACTTTGATTGCTGTGGAAACAGCAAAGAGCGGGGCTCTTAGGAAGGAAGACAACGTCTGACCCGGTGTCCACTACTTCAAGAAATGGGCATAAGGTGGCAGCACTGGTAGTGCCTGCAGGTGTTGTGGAGAGAAACTTGGCCAAGGGCCAGTTATACTTAAGCTGCTAAATTCCAGTGAGAAGGTGGAAAAAGGGAACTCTGTTAAAGAAGTCCTAATAAGGATAGTTAGTAATGGGAGGAGAAAATCTTCTCCTAGGGGAGTGGTGGCACTCAGGAGCTCCAGAGAGGAGTGGGTGATGGGGTCATATTGCCTGATACCCACACATCTGTTGAAAGGATAATGGCCACTTCTAAAGAAGGATTAAGATGAATTGATGAAAAATATAGATGAATCGATGAACAATATAGATGAATTTTAAAACGGTAAGTAAAAGAGGCCAATCACAAAAGACCATATACTGTATAGTTCCATTGATACAAAATATACAGAATAGGCATTATCTATAGAGACAGAAAGTAAATGAATGGTTGCCTAGGGCTTGAGGCTGGGGAGAATGGTGAGGAATGACTGCTAAAGGGTATGGGTTTTCTTTTGGGGTGACGAAATGTTCTAAAATTGATTGTGGTGATAATCACACAACTCTGAGTAAGCTAAAAAACACTGAATTGTGCACCTTAATAATGAATTGGAATTATATCTCAATAAAGCTGTTACTAAAAATGCCTAGCTTGTGCATTTCTAAGAAGCTCTTGGGGATAAAATGAGGACAACTGTAATTGAACAATAATTAATGTAAAAAAGAGAGAGAGAGAGGGAGAGAGAGAAAGAAGCTCCTAGGTGATTCTGAAACTTCTAGTCCTGAAATCACGCTTTGACCAGAGAAGCTTTAAGAGACCCAATGAAATTATATTTCTTCCTTGGGATCAGCATTGTGTCAGTTCTGTACTGAAGTTAAAATAACAATTACATATTTTAATTTTTCTCATACATGCTAGTGGCATTATACACACATATCTAGTGCTTCTAGTAACAGTGAATATTAGTATCCTGAAGAAGTACATTACTAACATTATGGGATTTATTATTCATTTCATTGAAAAGCTCAAGATTTGGAATTTGTAAGAGAGCTGAGTTTAAGTTTGGCTCTATTATTTACCAGTGTCATGGCCTTGGATTACTTAATCCATCTGAGCTTCAGTTTCTCCATTTATAGAATGGACATAATAATGCTCAGTGGATTTTCGTAAGTACTAGAGACACTAGTAATAGTCACTCATGAGGTAACTACTATTATTGTCATCAACTTTGTGTGAGATGGGAGGATCTAGCCCATTTTCCTTTACATGTCTGCATCATTCCATATTTTCTTTTAAATCTCCTGAAGTTTTAAATTTTGGTTGTGTAGGAGATGCTTCTCTAAGATTATTTTTCTTTATCCATTTGAAAAAGGCATTGTTGTTTGGAGCTCTGGTAAAATACACATGAAATATATATTTTTAAAGGTTTTATTTATTTTTTAGAAAGAGGGGAAAAGAGGGAGAAAGAGAGGGAGAGAAACATCCATGTGAGAGAGAAACATCAGTCAGTGGCCTCTTGTAAAACGCCCTGTCTGGGGACCAAACCCACAACCCAGGCACATGCCCTGACCAGGAATAGAACCAGCAACTTTTCAATTTCAATTTGTGAGACAACACCCAGCCAACTGAACCACACCAGTCAAGGCCACATGAAATATAATTTTTAACACATAGGTGTGTGCTTTTTGGGGGGTGGGTATTGTTTCTGATATTAAGGGATTCAAAGTTAAAGTTCGGATATTCAATAAGGAATTTTAGTCTTCTTGATTCTTAAGTGCAAAACTGAAATAATTTTTATTTTTGTTAAGAATTTTTTTCAGTGCTTGTTTCAGCAGCACATATACTAAAATTGGAACGATACTGAGAAGATTAGCATGGCCCCTGCACGAAGATGACACGTAAATTCATGAAGTGTTTCATATTTTCAAAGAAAACTAAAAAAAGAAAAAAGAAAGAAAATTTTCAGCCCTAGGTGGGTAGCTCAGTTGGTTAGCACATCGTCCCAATACACAAAGGTTGCAGGTTTGATGGGATAGGGCACATACAAGAAGCAACCAATGGATGCATAAATAACTTGAACAACAAATGGATGTCTCTCTCTCTCAAATGAATACATTAAAAAATTTTACTGGGGGGGGTGGAAATGAGAGGGAGGTGGGGAGGGCTAGCTAGGCGGGTGGGCTGGGAAGGGAGTAAAAGACAGAAAACTGTACTTGAACAACTTAAAAAAATTAAAAATTTTTTCAAACTGAGTTACTTAATTTTGTTTTAGGACCTCTGTTATTTTCCTTTTCCTTTGTGGTACAGCAGGCAAATTCTCCTAATGCCTGGCCCTCTGGGAAGTCTACAGAGTGAGGCAATTTGAAACACCCTGTTTTGGAACAGACCTCCTCAATTGCTCTCTCTGGAAGAGGGATTCCTGCTGCAAAGTACATGACATCACAGGCGCACAATTTAGGCTGGAGTGAGGACTGCTGCTTCTTCCTTCTGGAGGCTCTCTGACCTGGGGGGTTATGGACTGCAGCAATAGGTGAGCACCAGGTACCTTGTTCCCCTATTATACATGGACTATTCTCTGAAAGTTACAGAGATGAAAGATGCTGACCAATGTGTTTGTTTCTTTTCTTTCTTTCTTTTTTATATACTTCTACTTTTAGGCTGATTTTATCTCCTTGGTTTTTCTGGCTTCTGAAAGAAACTGTGGCAAATATTAATTGTCATTAGCAAGTTTCTGGTATGCAGTGTTAGTGAAATTTGTGTCTTCCTTTTGGTTATTTGTTTTTTTTAATATTTTTAAATTTATTTATGTTTAGAGGGGAAGGGAAGAAGTAGAGAAATATCAATGTATGGTTGCCCCTCATGTGTCCCCTCCTGGGAACTGGCCTGCAACCCAGGTATGTACCCTGACTGGGAATTGAACCTCGATCCTTTGGTTTACAGGCCCATGCTCAATCCACTGAGCTACACCAGCCAGGGCTGGCTATTCATTTTTTAAAAAACTTTTATAAATTTAACCTTTTGTCAACACCTTTCTATCACTGTGTACTTAGCATTACCTCTATGAAGGCCTAAACAGTATGAAGACTTAACAATTTTTCTTCTATTTGTTTTTTAAATTATAGAGGAGTTGCATACTATCAGCTTTAAGGTAAACATTCCAACTTTTATAAGTACCTTAATAAAAAACTGGTTTTGGACATGCCATTTTTAGAAACCTGTTTTATAGAGAATTCTGTTGAATACAAAATTTCAAATTTGAAAAAGAAAACAAGGGATCCTGTCCGTTCACTGCAGCTTTGAATATTTAGGATTTCTTCTGTTACAATTCTGCTTTGTGTCACTGCTGCATGAGGTGGTCAAAAAAGCTGAACTGGAGGCACCAGCTCCCTGAAAAGGATAGCCACAGGTTCATGGAGTGAGGAAGTGCTATCTGCTGGTGGGGGACTTCTCAGGGTCACTAATTTTGAAACCCCCTAAACACTGATATAAAGATCAAAATCTCATCTTCAATGGCAAGGATCAAAAGGTCGGAAGGCTGTGTATTCTGTTTCCTCATCTAGCACCATAATTCTGTGGGAGAGCTGCAGTTAAATGGACTCTAAGCTGGGCTTATTCTTTCCTTTCTTGTCTTTCCAATTAAGGACATTATTTGATTTTGTGCATCTTAGCCATTCCTTTTGGTGGATAGTTGTTTCCCTTGTTACAAAGACCAAAGACCATTCTAACTCCAGAGTTGGCCAAAGAGGTAGAACAATTATCTCATAATTCCATGTAGCTGCCTCAGGAGCACTGGGTTGATGTAGACAACAATCTCTGGTATGAGTGCTGTTATGCCCAGGAGCAGAAGCTTTGAGAGCAGCCAGTGTGGTGTAAATTGTACCTTGTTAGACATTTTTGTGCCATTTAGTCCAAGTACATATTACCCAATGTGAGAGCCTATGTGACATGGAGACAAAAAAGAGAGAGAGAGAGAGAAGAGGGAGGAACAGAAGTTATTTTCATTCTCTTTTCCTCTAAGGAGGAAAAAATAACTAAAATATAACCTGAATATAAGAGCATTCATAATATTAATAATATTCTTGCCCTAGCTGGCGTGGCTCAGTGGGTGGCTTGTACGCTGACCTGCAAATGGAAAGGGTGCCGGTTGATTCCCAGTCAGGGCACATCCCTGGGTTGTAGGTAAGGTACCCAGTTAGAGGTGCATGATGGGCAACCCTGTATCTTTCACACGTTGATGTTTCTCTCCCTTTCTCTATCTCTAAAAAAGTAAATAAAATATTTAAAATATATAGCCTTGATAACTAAGTCAGTAAACAAACAAGCAAACAATAAAAAGAGATATTTGGGCCAGTGATCTCAAAGTACTTTTAACATCCACTTTCTTTGTATTCACTGAAATCTCTTTAAGGTCTCATCGAATGAAATTGCCATGTCTTCAAATTCTCCTTTTTTTTCCTTTTCTCTTTGTTCATCAGCTTTCTTGAAAAATAAGGAATCTTGACCTGAGTGTTAGGAACTTACACATTTTCAGTGGAAAAAGCCTTTACTATTTGGAAGGTATATCTTTCCTCTCAGGTAGACATCAGCCTACAATGTACTTTATGGGAGGCACAAAGGTAGTATATATACAGTGTCATACCTCACAGTAGGGTAACCTCCCATTTATAGTAAACTAGATGAGAGGATTGATATCCAAAATCAAAAAGTGCAAAATTCTAGACTGGTTCAAAGCATCACAGTAAAGAGATAGTTATTTGGCTCATGGGAAACTTCTAGGCATACATAGTCCATATGACTAGATTTTGTGAGTCTATCTGAAATCTTTCTCTTTTTTAAGATTTTATTTATTTATTTTTCAAGAGAGGGTAAGGGATGGAGAAAGAGGGAAACATTGATGTGTGAGAGGTACATCAACTTGTTTCCTCTTGTACACCCCAAACCAGGGACCCAGTCCACAACCCAGGCATGTGTTCTGACTGAGAATCAAACTGGCAACCCTGTGATTCACAGGCTGTACTCAATCCATTGAGCCACACCAGCCAGGGCTATTTGAAATCTTGATCATTACAGTTTATAAATGAATACAGCCATTTGGAAATTTGACTTAGAATGAAAGTTTGGATATTTGCTTCAAATGCTGAGATAGCTTTCTAAGTGTAGGCTCTTATGTGTGGCCATATCACCCTGAACACCCCCACTCACCTACCCATCTTGTCGAAGTGTAGGATCTTTACCTTAGATATTAAGTAGGTCATACTCCTTTAACTCTTTTCTTCCCTTTTGTCTTTCCCAACCCCCACTCATCCACAAGAAGAACACCTCTAACAGAGTTTTTATGTCTTTGTAGTACTCCATTCCTGTAAATTCCTTCTTCATGTTTTTGTTCTGTTTCATTAATTTGGAAAATGACAGTGTTAAATATGTTTGGTATAACACTAATCCTGGCCAGCCTTGGTAATCCCTTAAAATATATATACACACGCATATGTATATATATAATTTATATATATGGTATGTGTATGTATTGTTCTGGGGTTGAAAGTATAGAAGTAAAAATCTTAGCCTGGCTGGTGTAGCTCAGTGGATTGAGTGCGGGCCTGTGAACTAGAGGATCGCAGTTCGATTCCCAGTCAGGGCACATGCCTGGGTTGCAGGCCAGTTCCCAGCAGGGGACACACAAGAGGCAATCATACATTGATATTCCTCTCTTTCTCTCCTTCCCTTCCCCTCTAAAGATAAATAAATAAAATCTTAAAAAAAAGAAGTAAAAATCTTAAAATAGAAAAAAGAGGGAAAGGAGATTGAGGGGAGCTAGAAGAGGATAAAGGGATAAATGGTTATGGAAGGAAACTTGACTTGGGTTGATGAACACACAATACAATATACAGATGATGTATTATAGAATTACACTCTTTTTAAAAATATATTTTATTGATTATGCCATTATAGTTGTTCTATTCCCCCCTTCATTCCCCTTCACCCTGCACACCCCTCCCCCACCATTCCCCTCCTTTAGTTTATGACCATGTGTCTCAAGTTCTTTAGATTCTATATCTCCCCTACTATTCTTGCCCTCCCCTCTATCTATTTTCTACCTACCATCTATGACACTTCTTTTCTGTACCTTCTCCCCCCTTCTCCTTCTCCCACTCCCCTGTTGCTAACCCTCCATGTGATCTTCATTTCTATGGTTCTGCTCCTGATCTAGCTATCCTCTTAGTTTGCTTTTGTTTTAGGTGTGGTTATTAATAACTGTGAGTTTGCTGTCCTTTCACTGTTCATCTTTTTTATCTTCTTTTTCTTAGGTAAGTCCCTTTAACATTTCATATAATAAGGGCTTGGTGATGATGAACTCCTCAAAGTTGAACTTATCTGAGAAGCACTTTATCTGCCCTTCCATTCTAAATGAAAACTTTGCTGGACAGAGCAATCTTGGCTGTAGGTCTTTGGATTTCATGACTTGGAATACTTCTTTCCAGCCCCTTCTTGCCTGTAAGGTCTCTTTTGAGAAATCCGCTGACAGTCTGATGGGAACTCCTTTGTAGGTGACTGTCCCCTTATTTCTTGCTGCTTCTAGGATTCTCTCCTTCATTTTAATCTTGGGTAATGTAATTATGATGTGCCTTGGTGTGTTCCTTCTTGGGTCCAACTTCTTTGAGACTCTCTGAGCTTCCTGGATTTCCTGGAAGTCTATTTCCTTTGCCAGATTGGGGAAATTCTCCTTTATTATTTGTTCAAATAAGGTTTCCACTCTTGGCTGTTCCTCTTCCCCTTCTGGTACCCCTATAATTCTGATGTTGGAACGTTTAAAGATGTCCTGAAGGTTCCTAAGCCTCTCCTCATTTTTTTGAATTCTTGTTTCTTCATTCTTTTCTGTTTGGTCATTTTTTTCCTCTTTCTGATCCATTCCTTTGATTTGAGTCCCA